AAAACCACGAATTGTGGCTCCTAATGATAAGTCTTTGAAATACCGCATCCTCTATGAGGCTCACGACACGCCACTCAGTGGTCATCTTGGTCATGACAAAACGTACAGCTCTGTGAGTCATCACTATTGGTGGCCCAAGTTGTACAAATGGACGAGCACCTATGTGCTCACGTGTAAGACGTGTCAACGGGTGGAACCCGCTTCAAATGCGGCTGTGCCGCTGCGCCGCTGGCCAGCTTACCAATCCCCAATGGGTGCTGGCAGTCCATGAGTTTGGACTTTGTGTTGTAAAGATTCGGCTGGCAACACGGGTGTCGTGGTATTCATCGACTGGTTGAGCAAGGTGGCTCATCTGGCGGCGGTGCCAGGCATTATCGACGGAGTCGGTCAAGCAACGCTGTTTGTGGATCGTATTTTTCGACAACATGGACTCCTAGAGTCGATTGTCTCTGATAGAGACCCCCGTTTCACGGGAAAATTTTGGTCGACTATCTATAATACTCAGCACCAGGTTAGATATGTCGACAGCAGATCATCCGCAGACCGTTGGTCAAACCGATAGGGTGAATCGCGTCATCGAAGACGTTCTTCGGAGCGTCTGAGCTGAGATGCCGAGGCGCTGGAGCGCCACGTTGCCCCTCGTAGAGTTTGAACTGAACAATTCAGTGCATTCGTCTACCGGCTACACGCCGTTCTACGTAAACGGACTGATTCACCCTCGCGTCCCGCTAACGCCGCCATTTCCCTGGCTTAGACCTTGGCTAGGGAGAGAATAGCCTAACGGCTAGCTGATGTCAGCCCCCTCCCTGTCCGTAAAGAAGTCGATGACTTCCTATCTACCAGATTGAGTGTTTTACGCACGTTCACGATCCGATGGCCGAAAGCCAATACATGCAGAAAGAACATACAGATGGGTGAAGCAGAAGAAATGTGGAAGAATTTGAGGTCGGAGACCTGGATTTATTACATGTTAAAAACTTTTTTACACATGCAGTCTCTGCTTTCTTTATGATAAAGCTTCGTCCACGGTTTATTATACATTGTAAGGTCGTGGCCAAGCGGGGCTTTGCCCTAAAACTTTCGAAAAGAATGCGCACCCACCCGGTGTTTTATGTGGGCTTGCTTAAGCCGTACCGGGTCCGACGCAAGTGATCGTGGAAGCGTTGGCGCCCGAACGGTGCCCAAAGGCACCCAGCAACTTAGAAGCTGAACCAGCAACTGTTCTAAGCACGGAGTGCAACAATCTTCACACAAGTGATGCATTCGTCTGCTCGACGGCCAAGAGCCACTCCGATAGAGCGCGATAATCCTCAACGTGAGGCAGTCGGTGCACAAAGTGTTCCAGGCTCTCGAGGACTTCCGCACAGCAGTATGCGACCTCGGCAAGATGCTCGGCAGAGTGCCAATAATGATGGACTTTGTCCTTCCACTATCAAAGAGCATCGCGAGTCACCGGACGGCGATCAGCCAGGTCGTCATTGCCCGGCACCGACTCTTCTTGTTGAAAATGGTGAAAGGCGGCTGTAAACCCTCTCCCAATGCGGCGGCGCCGCTGGGCAGTTTACCGGTACCCTCCGGGTGTTGGCAGTCCAATGGAATTTGTCGGCGGGCAACACGGGTATTCACAGGTGCAGACCTTCCACATCCATCATGCCATTTTTGACAAAGAGGTGAATATTGCACTGAAAGCCGAGAACAATTACTGTGTCTCAAGGACATCTCTAGCCCCCCAGGGGCAATAAAAATCCGCCAATTCTAGGTGGGAAGACTTTTCTTAGTCCCCGAGCAGCACCGTACTTTTTTGCAGATGTAATATCCGCGGCAATATAAAAAATTAACGCTCCTTATACCCATTCTCTCGCGGCTGAGAGGTGTTGAAGACCAAGCCCCCATACAGGGGTAACTAACAGACCCCTTACTAGGAAATGTCGAGTACCGATATATGCGGGTAGAAGAACAAACATATCGTAGATTCCGTGGTGTACCCCCCCTCACACTAGTCCGTGTTATAGACTACGGAACGTCTTTTGAAGCGCTGCTGGTACAAAAAGCAATCAAGTCTTGCAACTCGTGTCATGGACTTAAGTGGGAAGCGCATAACCTGTATTCTATCCTGGTAAGATAAAGATGAACTTTCCCAACTTAAAAGCCCTTTAACCCCCAAGCTTTAGACGACAAAGCTTATGCTGCATCTGATCCCCATAATGTACAAATCGCGTCATTAATGCGTAACATCACCTTCATGACATGCCACATACATAGTAGGGGCGGGCGAAGCGCATCCGTCACCACATTTTTCGGATATCGAGAACATATTTGGCGGTATTCCGAGGCGTAAAGAGAAAAGGACTAGGACAGTCTTGCCAAAATGAGAACTTAAACACTAAAAAATACTTCAAGGATTCTACTTCACCAGATACTGCTTGTAGCCTGGTGAACCTGTCTATTTATATTCGCTGCATGGAAGCGGGTCATCCATTGCATATCGATTATAAGACGGCAGAAAAAATATTTTCTTTGGTGCGATCAGCATTATCGCTAACGGTGGTCTGTCAAATACTTGAAATTTTCAGCGTGCGGACTATGCTGGCATGAGTACATTTTTGTTGCGCTTTTCGTTTTGGACAATTCAATTGATTGGTGTATGGCGTCCTAAGCTTTTCGTGACAAATTTGCTGCGCTTTGACAATCTGTCATTCAGCTACGTTGGATTACTGCGTCGTTAATTAGTCTCCAACAAAATACTCTGCACACAAATGTGAAGGAGACAGCTACTATTTGCACCACACAGACTGCAGGATGCGCTCGAAGGCTCTTTTAATTTTGAAAGTAGAGCTCATTCACATTTTGAGTTCGTATAAAAGAGCCTAACGTGACGAGAATGTGGCTTTCAAAATGTAGACAGTGTATTGTCGGTCGGCTGATAACACCTTTTACCCACAAGGCTTTCATGTGTGCACTGGTAACCGCATGTGGTGCATTCCTGCCATCAGGAGTAGCTTTGCGTGATTGGCGCATGATATCTATCCTTTTGAGATGAAATTGAGCTTCTCTAGAACGTGTTTCTGGAATGTTATAAGCAAGGCATTAAGACCATAGCCACTTCGTCACGATTTAAACCAGACACAAGGTTGAGCATAATCAACGATCCGTCACTTTTTCCATTAACAAAGGTCATTGACGTGCGACGCAAGGATAGAATCCTTACACTGCGATCTGGGAAATTGTGACGCTTTCATTGTCACCGCGTCTTCAGCTTTCAGCAAATGTGGAAATATTATTGGGGATTTGGAGACAGTCTTTATACTTCTTGCACCCAATGTGTCTCGACCTCAACGCCAAAAGTCGTAAATGATGGATATCTCATCACCTCATGTGGTACAAACAGTATCAAATTGACAAATTTATCGCCTTCAATTTGTTGCACGTACACCCAATATATAATCGAGCTCTACAAGAGTTTCAAATATGAAGCCATGTTATCTTGTTTACCTCAGCCACTCCGCCTACAGTTGAGCCAATGTTCTTACCACACAGCCGCATGACTTCAGTGCTACGTAGGTGGATACGTGACTAGGTGTTGCTTACCACCTAGTGCGTTTCCTCCACGCCAAGACAAAGGTAAATGATCTATTATAACATCAGAGCCTGGATCTTGTACTCGTAAGTCTATATCGATATTTGTCGAGAATAAGTCCCAAGGTTTCTATGATAAATCTCTGTGGAGACCTTGGAACTTATTCTCGACAAATACACACCCTGAAAACCGTAATAAACAGTCGCTCTTTCATGTCTCAACAGAGATCCAATGAAGACACCGGCTCAAATATTGTAAATTTACATCCTAAATAGACATGCCTCTTTTTCAGATTTCGACCTTTTTCCGACTCAAGTCTTCGTCCTGACGCTTTATCGTGGTACATCAATTTGGTACGTACGAGCTTCAATCTGAATCGTAAATATAAAAGAGCTAATAGTCAATGTGCACAAACATCATACTAAAATTCGTATCTGATTTAGCTATCCTTAACTAAAAATAAAGCTCACTGGAGTCAAAAACCAATATGTTCGCCGACCATTCAGATCACGAAGATTTTTTTTTGTATCATCCTGGCTACGCACTATCCCGCTCGCTGAATGTTGTCATCGCAGATTATGCTGGTAACAGACCATTCTGACCGCAACTATACTAGTTTCCAATTTCGTGTTTGTTGCTTTTGCTGTTGGCAGACCATCCTTGTCACTGACTATCCTTGTCATTGACCATCCTTGTCTCCTATGCAAGGTCCTGGCTAACCGTAACTTTTACAAAAAAGAAACGCGCCATACTCGGTTGCGTTGAGTGTCAGCTTCCCAAGCCATCATCTCATTAATTTTTTTTGCAAGTTGAAATCGCATAGTCCGAAGAGCACATTGGAGAAACGCGGTTACTGAGGCCGTCATTAAAGCCAAAATCATACGGGTCATGTTTGCGATGTGTTTTTTTGATCAGACAAGCACTTCTTCATATTCCAACAAACCATTTTTACCTTTTTTGAAGGATGCAAGATTAGCCATCGTATTAGTAGAAGCCTCTTCAGCTTCCGTTACACGCATGGTGCCCATCTCTCAAAAAAGAGTAGGAAGACATTCCGGTACGATAGGCTCGTCGCTAAATACGATAAAGCATCAATGCCAACGACTTCCACTTGCTCGTAAAGCAATAGTAATAGTGTGATATAGTCGTCAGTGACCATACCAGAGATAGTGTCTCGACAAGCAGTCCTAATGGGTCAGAGTCAAACAGATGCATCGCTCCATGTTTAGCACTGCATTGTACAGCTACGACTTCGATATTATGGTGGGTACATCTCCTTACCCTCAGTCCGTGCTGTACAAAACCATATGTTTTTCCATGAGCCTGTTGGTTTAGCTACCGACCAAGTCTTGAACATAAATAAAGACGGACCCAGCTTACGAATATGAAGCGTGTTGTGCTGCGCAATTTTGTTTCTTATCTTCATGTGAAATAGAGAGTCAATTGGTGGATTAACAGAGCTGAAAAATCTAGTTGATCGCCAGGAAGTCTTCAAGCATTTATTGCATCCGGACAAAACTGTCCCGACGACCTAGCCAGTAAACCTCCACCGGTTACCCCTTGACGTGCCCCTACGTAGAAAGTATACCATCAGTTGCTTAACAAATTAAGACGACGTATGACGAGGCTGATGTAAAGGCAAGTGCGAATGTTTTGGCAAAATGCAAAGTGAACATATTAAGGTCCTTAGTTCGCAGTGCTACCTCTAAGCCTATTTAGAATATTCTATCAAATATTTTCCTGGATTCTCTACTGGATATATGCACCTTTTATGTGTTTGTGGATAGCCCCTTGCTGAA